CGGAGCTAATACTGGGGGTATAGAGCTTTCAAAGAAAAAGCAGAATCCGAATTGTTATTTACGCATAGCAAATCTCTCACAGGAGGAGCGCCCGGCGCAGCCGGGCGAACCTATAAAAAGGAGGGAAGCCCGGCGTTGGCCGGGCGACCCGACTTTAATGCAATAGTCGTTGGGTGCTTTCAAAGTTCAAGAGCGACCGACCGACTGACGGCGGCGCTGGCCACGTACTGACAAAATTGGACTTTCAGCGTCTCATGTAAGCATGATACAGTAACCCCCTAGGGTTCCACCACCCATCCCGAAGGCTTCACCCTTTTTGATGCATCATATATGTAACGGGTTTCGTGTGATGGTTTGGAGGCGCTCGGGTGTGTCTTCGTAACACATTCACTATGTACTATGAAGTCCGTCTTTTGCTGACTACGCCGGATAGACTTCGTTCAAGGCCCCGTGAGTCATGTGGGCCTGTACCACTCTGAAAGCACCCATTGAGCGCGAGTCGGATTTGCCTGGATGGTTGGGTAGTATTTGTTCGTCTTTATAAAACCTTATTTTACCTATAATACTTCTAGTACACGAACTCCTACAAGACAACAAGAAGGAATTAGAAAAAAATAATCAAAACAAAACAAAGAAGCAAAGCAGGCAACGAAAGATTTGGGCCTCGTAGAATAGGGTTACAGGGCTGTGGTTAGACAGTTGTCAACCGCTGATGGAGGACTCAGCGTTTCTCTCGTTTCAGTCTCGCGTCTTCTTCAGTAGGCATCCCACTGGCTGCTTTTAAAGTTCACCGACGTGCCTTCCAACCGACTGACCGACCATCCGACAGACTGACTGACTAATTGACAACGTTCGTGGCGACGTGTTGCCAATGGATAAAATGCCCTAACGCGTCACGCGGCTCATAACGCAATCTGACCAGTGTTGGTAGCACATGGATAGCGCTGTTCTCGGTCGGTTGGTCGGTCTCTCAAAAGGTGCGTCCTTTGAAAGAAGCCACTTTCAGAAGGACGACGCGCAGACAGAAGGGCTTTACATCCCTCAATGAGTAGCCCTGTTGTACATGGCATTAACTTGGGATTATGGTGTTTCATTGATGCTGGCCTTAAAACAATGTCGCGGATATTAGTAATCACTCACAACATGAAGTGTAACAATCGAACAGCAGAAAACGTGAGTTTCGTTTAATACAAGACAGATATTTTATCAATGCGAAGATCTTGCAGTTGTTTAGATGATATTGAAAAAGATCAGGTCTTCTTTTCAGAAATTTCATTTAGTCAACAGGGTCAAACAAATAACCCTTGTCAAGCTACATCACAGTCATTCCCACCTCCAGTATCTTTTCTCGCTTTTATTAATCCAAAATACAGAGTCTTTTTAGTTTGCTATGACCCCCTTGAATCCATCTTAAACTCGCATACCCCTTCAAATCTCCGCTCTCAAAGAGATTGCGACGATCATACAGGCGGACACATCTTCCTTCCGCTGATGGATACGGCATGCAGGGGACTGCTTCGTCATCTGATTCTCTCAGCGGGAGGAATACACGTTGTCAAGAGCCCTGTTATCCAAACGTGCCCCCCCCCCCCCGTTGTCTGTACACTCCCCGGGGTAACGTCCGTTCCACGCGTCCGTCGAAACTAGGTTACAACGCCCATCTCGCGTGCGACGCAGCCCTGCGATCTCGAGTTGATGTTACAGTACAACTAAGTGTCACTGCAGCGGATGATTTGCCTATGTTATCTTCTATCAGAATGCCTTGATCAAGCGCAGTTCGTGCGCCTTACCGACAACTGCGACATCTGTTGAGAATCGCGGGGTGACGGGCCGCGCGTGCGACGGCTGCGGCGTGACCTGGTTTCGACTGACGCGCGGAATGAAGCGCACCCCTCTCCTCGAGCCGCTCTCTAGTCAAGAGTTGGCGTTTCATCGGGCATTAGAGTTGAAGAATTATCAGAAAAGTAAACTGTTACCTAACTATGAAGACCTCGAACTGTGAACGGAGAGAATTCATTGAAAACGAAGGATGAGTAATAACTTGATAAGGTTTGTTGCTAGTACATGTACTCTGATTGTGAGAGAAGCAATGGCCGGGTCTTTGCAGCAGTATGTATAAAACAACCCTAGAGAAGCTTTACATCGATAAAAGATCTATGTGTCATTACGAAAAATTCAAGCTTTTAAGCTACTTGGTTTCTATGTGAGTGAACACTGAGATCAAAGAGATCGTTCGAAGGTCTGCAGCAGCAATGAACACACAAATCGAAGCCCGACAGTGTTCGTCATGCATTACATTGTATTAGTGGTATAACTACGCACTGGATACGGCATACTCTTTTGTCTGCACTCTATCCTCCGGTGACGGATCCGTTATCTTCTTACCTAGCACTGCGTCGCGCTTGCCGCACTCGCCGCGTATCACAAGAATGCGATAGGAAATTGTAGCGCGCAATCTGTGAGCCAGAGGGACAAGACGGATTGAATCGTCCCGTGAATGTGTGACCCAGTAACCCAAACCCACGCTGAAGCGCCTTCAAAACACCCGTCACATGTACGACGCAAAGGAAAGGTACGCCGGGTGAAACTCACTGGGATGGGTGTGGAGTACTGAAGGGTTACGGTGTCACACATTCACGGGACATTAAAATCCCTCTAATGCTAGAGAGTCCTTTAATTATTAGAATTCGATGGCAACTATTAAGTGGGTTGGGGATCACGCGGCGACGCGGCGCTCTGCTCGTCTGGCGCTTTCTCCAGCGAGACAGTACTGGGCCTGATTGTGAGTCTGGGGGAAAGGTCCACGGATTCCCGCCATAGTTTGGAGGGTAATGGGCTCAAAATGGGGAAGGGTTGTATAGGAAGTAGGATTCTCACTAAGTAGGATTCCCTCCCAGAGCATGGATTTCGCTGCAAATCTGCTGTCGTTGCGCAACTTCACGCTGTTTTCAACGCGGCCGCAGTTGGCTGCGATGACGCCCTCTCACTAAGGCTTAAAATCGTCTCAGAAGAAGAGTATCTATAATATGCAAGCATACCAACATGTGCCAAGAGTTAGTTCGTTGTAAATCACGAAACGCATCAGTGCAACGCATCTCCCCAGAATCAGGCCCAGTACTACCTCGCTGGAGAGAGCGCCAGATGGAGAGACGGTGCCGCGCCGCCTTGTGGTCCCCTCAACCCAATTAGCACCTAATAAACATAAACAAAAAAGAAACAGATAGAACAATCAAAACCGTTCAAAAATGAAAGGCAGTCAAGGAAAAATATGATGTCCTATTGATTGACCGGGAGGCGAGCCGAGTAAGGTACAGTATGAAGCCACGAGAGAATTAGAAAGAGAGGTGTCTATTGGAGAAGAGGCAGAGAACACAACAAAAATCCTGAGTCATTCCTCCGCGGTGGACAACGGCTGGTAGTTTGCGGGAAGACGGGCAGAAGACTGTGACTGTAGTTTGACCGCTAGATAACTAAAAAATGAATTACGCATGATTTCGTATGCGGCCGAGCTGACGTTTTACAAGTTTCTTTCGTAAGCACCTGTGGGGAACGCGAAAGTAACCTGTAATATGAGTTCCTTCATGCACGCAACAAAATATACGCGCTGACGTGGACAGACATTTTCCAGCCATTCGTACCATCAACGCATGAGAATCGCGTACATATAAGATAAGCGGAATAGATGAAGGTGATGGGCAAAAAAGTATGCCGATAGCTTAAGATTTTTTTGAAAAAAAATCACAACAACATTATGCACAACTAGATTTCGTGGGACGCAGTGACATGAGGATGGAGATGGTTGATATTAATGGCGGGAGATAAGGTAAATGTCAGGGAAACAATCAGTCGTTCGTCCGGATCGCCATTACATAGACATGAAGAAGTGAAGAGGAATACAAAGGAGTGAACTGACCACAACCCCTCCCCGCCTTCCCCCTCAAAACGCGCGACTGACTGACTGACTGACTCAGCTGACTCAGCGCGCATCACATCAGATTTAGTTTGCTCAAATGTATGAGGTAATTTGAGTAGGTGTGCAATGGCGTGGTGCAGTAAGATCGAAATCGTCGCTCGCGGCAAGAGACACGTCACGCGCGAAGGAGTGTAGCAGAATTAGAAGAAAGTAACAAATACATTATCAACAGAACTAGCATTAGAATCATGCCAAAAATAATAATCGCATATCGTTTGAGCTGTATGAAGAACACTAGAGCCGTAATAACGGCGAACGAATGGTCCGCGACTGCCGCGCGCGGCGAATCAATTACACAAAGACGATCCTACTGCCAGTCTCCCAGTGTGCAGTTGCGTCAAGCGACGTTTTTGTCACACTATGATCCAGGGATTAGATATCGGAGTGAGACATGTCCGAGCTTAGCAAGTCCTCCATCTTTCCTGGGTAGTCGGGGTGGTCGGGTAATTGGTACTATAGGATAAAAGCCTTGACTGTACAGCGACTGCAACTTATTTTACACACACATTCGCAATCTTAACACCAGCATGATGCTGAGGGGAAGTCGAATGCAGAGATGTACCTCATAACGGGTTTCATCAACGCCAAATTACCTCATTCAAAGTAGAAGTTTTTTTGTTGTGCTGAAACAGTCAGTGATCAGGGTCTGAACGACTTCCGGACCACAAAACTTTATACAAGCCCTTCAACCCTTCCCTCTGTCTCTTTGTGCCTTCCCACATATGGCACTGCAATGTTTGCACGTGTGGCAAAGCTTAAGACATCGAACCCTCATGTAAGAGCATATCTACACTAATAAATTTAAAAGAATAGCAACTAAAACTCATGCGGCGTCAGTTTGGTAGTAAGGTAATAACCGAGGCAGACGGACGGGCAGTTTCACAAACTCCAACTTCTCTTATTTTTATATCGTACTGCAAAATTTGAGATCAAAAAAACATCACAAGTTCTCCGTGTAGATCTATTTAAAATACACAACAGTTTGAAACGAGGAATAGGATGCACATTTAAGTGATCATAATCGAGATTAAATTTCCGATAAAGTCGAGACAACGTTTGCGAAGCCTTTCAATAACATGGTCACGTAGAGGATGAAACCTGAAGATAACGATTTGTTCATTGGATTTACCATTTTAGAAATGGTAAGAAACAACTTTTTCTGAAAGTCGTGTAGGCGGGAACGATGATGACAGACGGTGACAAGGTACTTGAACTGCCTTCCATAGCGACAGCTGCCATATCGACTCTGATTTGAAAAGAACACAACGTTTTCGAGAACTTCTCTTTAGCAGATTTTCCTATGAAATATAAATGAAGAACAATTTCAGGCATTAACAGAAGATTCACGATCAGATCCAGTGCTACCAAACTATCGACTTACACATACATACGTTAACACACACATACACACACACATACACACACATACACATGCACATACACATTCACACACAATAATGCAAACAAACCCCCAAAGACAGACAAATCAGTGAACAAACCTAGCGCGTTAGGCGCTCGTTAGGACTTCTACATGGTAAAATTTACAATGGTCAGTGAAAAAAGATACGAGTACATACTTACCATGATGAACTGGAATTTCCGCATCACATAGTCGCTCAGCTTATCCATATCGTCACCTCTGTACATCAACATCGCTATCAAACATTTCTGAAAAGCCCTCAGCACTGGCTTACTTATCAGTGATCGAAGCGATACGAAAAAACGCGCCTACCGTAAGTAAAATCATCTTATGAAGTTCGACAGCCTTACTTCTTTGTATATCTTGCAATCGTTGCAGACTAGTAAACATCCTGAAGAAAAGCACACAAAATGAGTAAATCGTCATGTCAATGAACAAAGGAAAAAAGTTTGAATATTTCTTGAAACGAAGAACTTGAAAATGGGTGGAAACCTCAATACTACGAACCGCTAGAGAGACTGGGGCATGTGTCACCTCGTGCGTCCGAGGATGCGCGCGGCGAAGTTTGTTGCGATTTGAACGACGTTTGCGCTTATCATTAAATCCCAAACATGAAGTAGAGTAGATTAGAAGGATCTCTTGACCCTACTAAACTACTCTACTTCGAGTTTGTGCCCCGAAAATTGGCGTCAGAATCGTACAAATCGTTGTACGAACGGTTGTATGAAGCTTATAAGTTTGAAGTTGAAGAGTTTCGAGAGCTCAGTTTACGATAACTTTGGAGTATCTAGATTCAGACGAATAGTCCGAACTCGTTGTTAATAATCCAGAATAATGCAAAAGAGGCAAAGAAAGAGCTGAGATCCGTGTTTAGAGGAATACAAGGCTTTAAAGAGTAGTAACATTAAGAGTTGGGCGGGAATGTGACAACAAGCTTCGCATGGAAGTGGTATCTGGACGAGCTATCCAAATGTGTGTGCCATTGCATACAGCTGGCTACAGTAAGCTGCCCGTACAAAGTGTGCGATCCAGTGCGAACGCTGCAACCTCTACAACCCCCCAAAACACCGTGAAAACTTATTCATCTTTGGATGCGTGTGACGACTCAGATGGTTTTAGGCCCTAATTACCCCCAAAACAGCCGTTTTTCGACCTGAGAGCCCCCTTAAGCTATCCTTAAATGTCACCGGTTTATAAAGAAGTAATCTCACCTTTTTTTCTATCATGAACTGTACCTTTGAGAGAAATCGTTGGCCGGTTAGAAACATCCAATGGCATAATGAACAGAACATTTCTGTTACCATTACATAATGTTCATTCACAATGGAAGAATACTTCCTCGAAAGATGAGTTAAGATGAGTTAGATAACCCCATATGAGTTCCACCCTCCAAAGCTGCTGAACTTCCTGGGTAAAAGTATCAAAACGGATCAATTTAAGTGCTTACAATTTTTCACAAGTCCTCTCCGATTTCGCGGACGATAGTCAAAAGTGATGAAGAGAAATTTGCTCATCATACAGTAAGGGCTGATGTGATGTGGTGACGAGAAGCACACTAACTTGTGCATGAGCTGCAGATCTGACATAGAAACGGAACTCGTCCAAGCCAACCAAGCCCTCCATACTCCCATGGTCGGCCAGTTGTTGGCAGAGTGTCTGGAAGGGCAAATGCACAGAGTTGTACATCGACTCTACTGCAAAACATTGTAGAGGCTAAATGCCCAAAATGGATTGATCAACGCCACAGAATCTACTCTTTATCCTCACTCATGACAGTGTAAGAGCTTCCTTGTTTTCCATTCCACCGATTGAAAACGATACTATCTGTCATTACAGGACCAACTCTGTACAAGGGAAATTATGGCGTGGTAATCACTGTTTTATAAAGAGTTGAGGGGCTTTTTCTCGAGATGTGCTCGATCTACTGCTGTCGCCATCACCACGAGATTAGAAAGGACCAGTATCTTTGAGTTCGATGGAATGATTCGGCAGTTTGTAGTGAATGAACCTATCAAAGCAGTACTTGAGACATGACGAGGAAACCAAGCGACATTACCCGTCTGACAAGCAAATATTTTGTTTATCGTATTCACTGGATTGGAAGCGAATCAATCGTGAGGTCGAACCTAGCAGGAGTCTATTCTTTCCAAGAGGTTATTTCTGATGTTTATTTGTCTGGCGGCCCAAAAACTTTTTGCCAGCAATTATCAGGCATTCAATCAAAGCTCATACGCCAACGAAATCCATATCACTTGAAGAGATGGTTCTGTAATTTTGTACCGAAAAGTGTTTTCCGGACTTAAAGGGTGGACTTGATATCAATTAAAAAACATGTGCTGCGCTATACACCCCAGATAATCGCAGGAGGGGAATCCCATCTGCATGCGCGTGTAGAGTAAGTATGTATGCATGTATAATATATTGGATGTATTGCGTCTGTAAGATTAGTATATAACAGTAGTCATCACGATATCGCATAACGTGTTCAGCCTACCTGATCTTCGATTTCTTGGCGTGAGCAACGGAATCCCTCGGCTCAGAACTCAGTCAATGAACGAAGATAAGGGGTGCCGGATTCTCTTCTGCACTTACGTGTAAAAGGAAGCTGCAAGCATCGTAATTTCCAAAGCGGGTTGAATAACGCCGACAGCCTGTTCATGCTGCTTTCCAAGAGCGCAAGCCTCCAAGGTTACGTCAACGCAGAAGGAACAGTGTCGAAATGGTGAGCGCTGAGACGGATGTTCCTCGTCTTCTTACTCTCGATGTTCTCAAATGCTCCCCACACCGCGTGTTTTTTCTGCTCGGCTCCGGTGCTCAGTCATGTTGAGTTCTCGACCTAAATACGTGTAGCTAGATCTTTTCGAGATATGGTTTCATTTAGCCTACAGAAAGAATCGGATACCAATCCGCTTCTCATGACCATCGTTTTCGTTAAGTTCTGTCACAAACAGATCTTCCCTCAAGCGTTGTCGAATTCGGCCAGCATTTGTTCCACCTGTTCGATGTAAGGTGTTATAAGCATGAACCGTCTGCAAAGCGGAGATGATGTGAGAGTAGCGGCCGTCAAACTTCACTCCCAAGTATTTAGATTTCATAGACGCATGTTTTCGAGAGCAGCACTGCAAAGTTTGGGCGAGATGGTATGGTCCTATCGAATCCCCTCTCTTCACGTTGGTGATGGCTTCCTTATAGAATAGCGGAATCCTGGAAGTCAAGTTGTCCTAGACTCAAAAAGCATCCTTCTGTGTATATCAAATAGAAACTCCATGGTTTTCCAGACTTCGATTACGTTTTTGATGAACGCGAGATCTATCGGCATTTTGTGCTCTCGCGACAGTTCAAGAAGTCTTGTAAGAGAAATGATATAATCGACTGATCTGAACCTTCTCCAAAAATTTGTAGCTCGCACGGCTGTCCTCCATCTTATATTCTGCCGATCGTGTTGAGGATGGCGCGAGAGAAAAGTTTGTAGATTACCCAGCAGGCAGGTTGTACGATAGTTGCCGATGACGCAGGGATCCCCCTTTTTATGTAGGAACTAGTGAAGGTTCAATAAGTGAAAGACTAAGGCAAGTCCAACGCGGCACATATGAGCTGAGGGGAACCCTGCTTATAGGGAAACGATGACGCACCGGGACTGTCGGTGCGATGGGAAAAACTTCAACATTTTTTCTCAAAAAAGCCTCGAAGCTGGAAAAATGGGCAAGTTGAACATGTCAGGCCAGGGACACTCGTCTGGAGAAGTTGAGATAGAAAATTTCATAACTCTGTAGGATGCGTTCCTTTTTGTGAAGCACACGTAGTATGCGAAGCCCAACTGCTTGGTAAATAATTGAGAGCGCGGGCCTCGATGGATCAACATGCACCAAAGATTCAGAACACATACGAAACTACAAATAACCAAAAAATACCTTTGAAAGAAAGGTCACGTACCTGAAGCATTTCTCGATGTAACTGAGGTTTGGGTACTTTTTAGAAGATTGCAACATTTCTCTTAACACAAATGGAATGAGAGTTTCGACAGGCCATTTACTAGAATCCACTGAACTGAGCAAGCTTTGTACGCAGATACTGTCACCCGATTTCAGACCTTTGAGCAATGCATTGTTATCCATGCTCCTAAACAAGACTAGTCAGAATAAACCGCACAAGTTAACATTTCTTAGTATCTTTATTAGTTTTTAGTTTAGGTAGTGATAGGCTTTTTGGAGTGACCTACAAACCAATACAATCCAACCAAACTTTTGATGCAGGAATTGTGATTATCAACTAGTTGCTTCATAAAGATCTTTTCTAATACTTAACTGATAGACGAAAATTCCGAGATTTGGTTGGTAAGTAGCTAGCATCTGTTCTATGGTTGGTGGCTATTCTGAGCACAACTTGAACTTAAGTAACATATTAGATGAAGCATAAACCTTATGATTCTAGTCGAGATCTGGTTTAAAAGTAATTCACGCACCATCAGTATCTGCGACTTTCAACCAGCAACAGCGCTCTAGAGAAGGGGCAGTTTACTGGATCATATTATAGCATGCATTTCCAGTGAATTGGCAACAACAATTGTACCTATGCTTAATGAAAAATAATGGGTCCACCATGTAGCCCAGATTTCGCGCCTCACAAAAATCACGTAACTCGATCACAGCAGAACTCCTTCAATAGGGAACCTTTAGCAAAATTGAGGATACCGAGCTTTAGTTAAAAAGGGAACATCTTTGAGAAAGGGGCTATTACCATTATCTCGAACCAAACTGGGCATGTATCACTAATTAAGCTTCGCTCAGTAGGAGAAAATTTGTGTAATGCTAAGAAATCGCAATTGCTTCTAGAACGACCTATTATAATTTAAATATGTAGCGAACACTACATGTGGTCGGGTTTCGATCGATTCATTGTTGCAACAGATCTTTGCATGATGTGACTGATCTGAATGTTCATTTCCATCAAAAAGAGATAGCGAATGGTGAAAAGGCTTGAAGTTCTTGCAACTCCATGTAAATGCTTCATAAATGCGAAGATACCGTGGGACTACACTCCTAATGTGACACAGAGACCACAGAATAGCTTGCTAGTTGTGAGCCTTTAAGGTTCGTCTTGTGGACTCATATAACTCGATAAACACTATGAACACGCACAATGCAGAAAGAAGTAAATGTATGAAAAGATGAAGAAGCTACGCAGACAATAACAATCAAATAATTGCTGCAAGAAATTGACAAGAAGTTCAGGGGACCGCTTGAAAAGCTTCAAAGAGCCCATCAAATGTGTGACGGGAGGAACGACATACATGGAATAATATAAAGCTTCAAAAACCCGAACTGATACAATACTTCAAGTCAACATCGAATAAACAATCATTTTAGCAAATTATTGCACTAGGTATGAAGGTGGAAACACCTCACATTATGCATTCAATACTGCAATATTCATTTGCTCAATTAATACTCGTAACTTCTAAGCGATAACAATTAAGAGACGCAACGTAACCACGGCCATAAGGCATCTATAACAACGTAATCATAGCATAAAGTAAGAGTAAACCATGAAGAGGTAACCGGTAATTGAGGGACTGACTTATCAAGAAAAAGCGCTGGGACTTTGAACGCCGTTAAACTATTGTAAAAGTTGAACCTCGCTCCATACTCTATAAGCAAAATGAGAATAGTGAGTCGTCAAACCAACTATTTCATGCACTTTGATTAGATTTCGAGTAGATTCTGGCTTCTCAGGATTTACTTGCTTAGTGAACTTATTATTGACTAGTTTCACTACACGTCGAGCACAATTTGTAAACAGAAAAGGATAAAGTATACTAAGTTGTTCAGAAAGTAACACAATATCAGAGTTTTTCACAAAAATCCCATATCCAAGGAACCCTGATCAATATGAAAGGAACTTTAAGCAATGATACACATCCAAATTTGTTCGGTTACCTTTTGCTATACTTCTGATGAATTCATAACTCCTTTCACATAGAATTTCGGGACCTTTGGGCAGAAAACTGGACCAAATAAGATTAGATATCCTCATCTCCAGCGAAGGTTTTCTCGTACTCAAGGAGTACCGCAACGATAGCAACATGTTGTATGGCGTGTTGCGTTTGGAGCGCAAATCGCACACACTAGCTCGCGGTGTATTCTCCTTAACTACTTCTATGATTGCGCTAGTCTTCTCTGCAGGTTCTTGTGAGGGTTATATGAAGTCGGCGAACATAGAATTGAAATTACAAATAGAATTGATCGAATTTTTCTCTGAAAATTAAAAATATATACCCGTGACATATATAGAACAAAAACATTCGAACTTCTGAGTTTCTATAACAAGAATTTGGAAAAATCGTAATTACTTTCCGAACAACCCGATATGAACGCTGGCTCCTCACGATAACGGAGAAGACGATGTTCACGTTATTGAGTGAATGCCTATACTGACTCAAACTAAGCAGAACCTTCTCTTCAGCTCAACTGCAGAAAGAATGAATCAAACGGAACTGAATTACAAAGAGCGACCCATATTGAATCAATGTCTAACTAACTCAAGCTCCTGACGATGTCTTGGACCAATACGAAATATTGAACATCTGGTGACTTGGAAATGAAATGAAAATATGCGCTCCTAACAGTGATGTTCAGAGTCAGAATTCCTAGAACGTCGGTCCTGGATTGATTTTGGGTAGCTTGTCGAACAACGGCTTCACATGTTCCTTTTCGTCGAATGTTTTCCACGTTTTGTACATAGCAAATATGGTATTAACGCAGTCGTACACCTTCTCAAAATCAACGGACAACTCCGGAAGCCACATCTAAATAAAATGATAATAAAATAAATAGAACATAAGTATCCAGGCTTGACTCTCAATAAATCTTGGCATGGATTTGAATGGATCTTGTGAAACTTTTTATAAAACCTGTTTCCAAGATAATAAAATGATAAACAAGCTCACAAGCTTGTTAGTCATTTTGATGACAACAGGTTTTATAGTTTTATTAAATAGAACAGAAACCGCCATATGCAAACTTGAAATTAAATATATTTGGTGTTCTGAAAGATAGACTGGAGACAAGCAGAAGTAGAACAAAGTAAAGGGCTTTTGCGAATTACCCCTACAAGTACTGACTAACGAACAGTATCAATGAATAACAGGAAATTGCTTTCATAACATTTATATCAGTGAATAGCGAGAAATTGCTTTCACCACATACATAGTTCCCACTAGATCAACTTCGGAAATTTACACATAGACTCTGGAAGAAATGAAGGACTGGATCTAAAGGTAGACCAGGATAGCTTTAAACATGCTCAAGAACGAGCTAATCAATTTTATTGAATCGCTCATTCCCTTTGATGTTCTATGGGATCACAACCGGTTTCGAAAATCTGGAGGAGGAACGCATAACTCGCAAATTAGAGTTTGGATATGCCCTCATGTTAGAACTCTTCAACATGAGTTTGAGAAATTTCGAAAAGAGAATGAGTTGACACTATTACCTGAACTTTCGTGCATGACCAAACCTTTTTATTTTACTTTTAGGAGTATCGTACTTTGAATAGCGCTCATAGCTCGATGCCGCATACCTATATTTCTAAAAAACAAGAAGGTTCATTCTTTTCTGACTACTTGTATTCAAACCCAAAACCTCGCGTTCCCCTCTAGCCTCCTAAAAGACGAAGATAGAAATATTTAAGCGTGTATATTTATGTAGTATTGGATCTGAGTATTGGATAATGGAGACAAAAATTTATTACCTTTATGTCCTTTTCACGATTCATTAGCTCGGCTCCAACGATGATAGAAGCAATGGCGATAATATGAGGAGGATAGAGCAAGGAGCAATCACTACGTAGTGAGTCATTGGCCACCTGTAAATAGATCATGTCCTACTCAAACGACGAACTACTATTACTATTTCACAATTTAATGAAACTCCGAACCCTACCTTCCAACACTGTTCTTCAAAAGGAGCCATATCTTTCACAGTAGGATCTCGAGCAATGTCCTGAAAAGGAAATTTCGATGACTGGGACTACTAAACTCCATGCTCTCCTTTTTTCAGTGATGTTGATGTACAGACGAAGGCAATTGCGACGGAGAACCTAGTGCGGTGGATATAATATATACCTATTAATTCCAAGTTGAAAAAATTCAACGATATATATTCAGTGGTTCTCTTCGTGATTAGTAAAGATGCGCTCTCAAAAATCAGCTGCACAGAATGCTCTACCTGAGCAAAAAAATACTTTTGCTGCGATGATGACCTAAGCAGAGAACTATGGTTAGGAGATCAGTATCTCCAATGCGTTCGAAATTCCAAATGTTTCCAGCCTCTGTTTTGGCTGGAAATAAGGGTCAACGAGAATAAAACGTGGCATTCTGAGTTTGTACTCTGCTCAACGTAGAAACAACAACATAAAAATTCGCTAGCACGTTATGCTTTGTATGTCAGAGTGTTTGGTTATCAAAGCACATCCTCATAGTGTGATAAAAACGAAACCAAGAAAACCATAAAAGTAAACAAACTTCGGTCATTACTAACCTGCAGCATTGTAGTGAGGGGTCGATAGGGATGATATACTACAAGACAGCAGTCGAGCATTTCGACCAGTATGAACTCAGCGTCATATAAGCCACTATTCTTCGAAGACGCATCGTAAGTAAGATTAGGCCATTTTTTCAGGCAGTTAGGGATTGTTTTGATGAGATTTGACATTGACATGAGGCCGTGTTCCTCAACCTGAGTGGAAAGATAGTAATGAAGTTTGGAAAAGAAGAAAAACAGTAACTTGAATGCAGTGGTATTATGGGCACACGATGCATATTCGAAGCCACCTTGGATGCCAGAAATACAGAGGCACAGGCAATAAGAAGTGGATCCACATCTTTGTAAGAACGTCGAGCGTAAAAGCGCTTGAAATAAACGATTGCAGTGGCAATCACCTGAAGATTGCAGCGTTGATTGCCAGTTGGACACATTAGCGCCGAATAAAGAATTGAAAACCACTAAATAAGGAAAATGGTTAAAGAAATAGGACCTGCATTCTTGTTTTCGGATGTCCTTGTTGTATGCCTTCGACGGCAAGTGTCTGTATGAGATTGGCCCAGAAAATCATCAGTTTCTGATATTCTTCCTCAGTATAAATCTGCAAAATACGTATGTTAGAAACGATTGCACATTTCTTTACCTAATTATTCTTTCAAACAGTATCAGCTAACACTTTCTTATCACTTTTTAGTTGTATGAAATACAAAACAAGTGATCATGGCGACTGTTCTTTGCAATTCTCAAGCGAAAAGCAGCCGCTTTCCTCTAAGTCTTGCGTTATGCGCTCAAATATGCTTCGCCATAAATTCGTTTAACAGCTTTGGATTAAGGCATAATAGCATTCAGAACCATAGCCTCACAAGGTCGCGATTTAGGGACAAAACTTCAGTCTCGGACAGGACTCGAACCGGACTTGTGCCCGGAAAGCACAAGTATGGATTCGAGTCCCGTCCGAGACTGAAATTTTGTCCATAGATCGCCAACTTTGGGAATCTTTCGCTTCGCATACTGCGGCGTTAAAATAGCAGTTAACAAAACATCAAATCGAAACATAATAGCATTGAACTGCACGGAATTTTTCGATTATAAATCGAGGGATAATCAAGGACCTTGATATTACCATCAGAAGAAATCGAAGTTCCTGGAAGCAAACGAAGAGGTGTCATTGGTTTCCTTTTTGTCCTTGATTGGTCTTTGCAGCTTTTTGAAGCACGCTCTTGACAAGCGAATTTCAGATCCTCTGGACCACACGCAGGTATGTGGTTTCCACGAAAATCATTAGACATGATATCACCACTAATTTCTAACTAAATAGAAGGTTAACTTGGAGCGTCATGTTTTAATGACCTCTTGAGAGTACCTGTGGAAGTCGTGTGCCAATTTACCAGCCAAGACATTCACACATCTTATCAAGCAAAGGATGCTCACCTTAAGATCTTCACTGCGCATTCTGAGTAGTTCTTGCTTTTCGAATATCCACTGGTCATAATGCGAACTCTGCCAAAAGTTACCAGCCATGGCCAAGTTCAAACACTAAACATTCAATAGTCATATGGCTGAGTCACGTAGGGAAAGGTGGTCGGTTATTATATAGAAGCAGAACAACAAATCAGAAGCGGGAATTCTACATAGGAACCTGATTCTTATGGTAATCTTACAGAGCATAGTACAATGCAACTTTTCGGACATATTTCTTCGACGGCATGACCAAATATGAACACACACACATCCCAATATCGTGAAATATGCCATACATAGAAAACTGACCACGGTAGGGAAAGAAGGTGGTTGGAAACGAAAAATAGTGGAATTGTGAATGGAACCAATGGAATGGTATCGAAATCAGCTTGGAATGTAACGAAGCACTTTGGTTTAATGCTCTTCAATTCAATTTTAAGCTAGAAGTCATATATAGGGAAGGGAATGGATGAAAAAGCTTTGAGATATGAATGTCTAGAGTCGCTACGGATTGACAACCCTAGGTATACTTGAGGATTACTTTCAAATAGGCGCCTGATTTTTGCAATCTCAACGACTATTAAGGAAAAATATGCAAACAACGTAAACCTAGAGAGGGAGGAAAACGCGTTGCCGACGGGTATCGCATCTCTTCCCACCTTCTGCTGTGCTTAAAAACACGAGTAAAATACGCTTTCCAATACAACGTTGTGCGTTGAAAAATCTGGACATCGTCTGCTGACAATGCTGGACGAGCGGCGGACGTGTGTCGAGAACGTCCGCGCCGCTAAGGGGTTTTGCGTTGGAGCATGTTATTTTCCTAGCGCGTCAGCGGCTTCAGGGGATATAGAAGTTTCGAAGTAGACGATAGCCTCCAGCTTTGTACTTTCATCTAACCCTGCTTTTCTATCTATGGTGCAAGTAGAAGAGTCCGTAGCTTTCCGCCGTTTAAATGGCAAAAAGAGCCCCACTGACTCGTGCGTGAAAAACAAGTTTTGTTTTATCAAGACCGAGTATTAGCTAATTTGAAGAAGGTGAGAGAAAACGTCAGCTTTCGAATCAGTCTGCTTTCGACAATCTGCGAACTGTCTTATTTGGTTGTGACTACAAGGTGCAAAACGAGCGAATCGATCTTCCGGCTTTTGGAGAAGGTGAAAGAAGAAGTTATTCTAGAATGAATATAGAAATCTCGTTGCACGACAGCAATTTCCGCTGAATGGTGATGAAAACCAACAGCGAAGGTTGATAAAGGAAAATTTTAAAGCAAGCTGTAGGAAAATCCACGGTTTTCAGCCATGGCATCGTGGCCCACGACGTTCGTAACAAGAAGGAGTTTCTCGATATCCATAAGATTACCATAAGAACACATTATTTATCACGTAATGCCACATTTGTTTTCCCCATTGACGACAGCCCACGCTTTGGGTTTTTTCGCCGCGTGTGACAAGGGCGTTTTGCTAGCACAACCAGCTTGGGACAACCAACCAACGTGGGACAACCTGACGCGCCAAAACAAGCATGCTCGTCAAGTTGTCCCACGAGGTGCGGTTTTTGGGAATCAAAATTGACAGACAGCGCGACAAACGGATCACAGTAACCAGAGGAGGAGGACTCTTATAGCGGAAATATTCAATCGTGGTGATGTTGTTCCCTCATGATCCTTGCGATTTTGGAGGCAACTAAAATTTTCATCAGCGCGGTTCAGTAGCTGAAGTTTCCAGTTGCCAAGATCCGCGTTAATGATGTGTGATGTTTTTGGCAACTGGGAACTCTCGAACTGTATTTGAACAACGAAGTTCTGTATTTGATCGTCGAAGAAATGAACCATTGCGGGACTCTTAGTGAAGGTATTCGGGAAATATACTCTGAGGAAATGAGATTTGTTGGACAATGTCTACCGATGGGATTGGTCATGTTGCCATTCTTACAAGATTATTGAAGATCTCGACAAAGCTTTGGTGATCATGCCCTCGCTTCCAGTATTACAGCGAAAAACAGCTTCGAGTTGTTCAAGACCTTTATTGGGCGGACTATGAGAAGCGATCTGTTATACAGTATCAGGCGATCCGTGCAACTGTTCAGTGGTGCATCGGCCACACTATATTCACTTCAAAAAAAAAA